GTTTGGGGTGTAGGGTTTAGGGTTTGGGGTTTGGGGTTTAGGGTTTGGGGTCTAGGGTTTAGGGTTAAGGGTTTGGGGTTTGGGGTTTAGGGTTTGGGGGGTTTGGGTTTAGGGTTTGGGGTTGGGGTTTTAGGGTTTGGGGTTGGGGTTTGGGGGTTTCGGGTTTGGGTTAGGGTTTGGGGTTTGGGGTTTGGGGTTTAGGGTTTGGGGTCTAGGGTTTGGGGTTTAGGGTTTGGGGTTTAGGGTTCAGGGCCGTGTGGATTGGGGTTTACGGTCTCAGGTTTTGCGGCAGCCGCCTTTGTGGTTCAGTTTCCTTTTTCTGGGCGCCAGCTGCAACCCTGACCTACTCTAAGCCCCGGGGCTGTGCGGGCTGAACCTGAACCCCAGACCCAACCCCTAAAGCCTACAACCCTCAAATTCAAACTGAGGGAGTGCGGCTGGTTTCAGGACTGGCCCCCTCAAACCCTCACCCAGCCACATGGGTCGTTCTACCTTCAGCCGATGAATGACCCTAAGCCCTTGTGAAACCTCGACCCCCCCACCCCCAAAATATCCAAACACTGCGTTCCTGCTTTTTGAAGCTTAAGGATTAAGTTGCTTTCCTACACGCTTGACAAAAGGAATGAATTCCGACGGGGGGCTTCAATGTCAAGAGAGTGGACTGAGGTGAAAAGACTTGCTCCGGATTCGACTGCCCAAATGGCTGGAAGGCGAGTTGTGCCCTGTGGGTTTAGGAGTGTTTTGTCGGTGTTTTAGCAAAAGCCCTGACCCTGGAATCTGTGATCTTCCCTCAAGGCGCGTGAGAGCGGTAAGCAGTATCGCGAAGATCCAGCCCTTACAGGTTTCATGGCTAGCAATGAGATGCTTAAATGGCCTTTCATACGGCTTATCGCCACATACAGCTACAGCTACCTGCTTCCAACGCTGGTTAAAAAATCCTAAGCCGTAGACCCTGAACTACTTGTTTAGGGTTCAGGGTTGGTGTTTGTGATTTCAGAACGCCTGCACAACCTCAGTGACAGGTAAGCTACCCCAGGAGACCTGAAGCAACACAGAATGTTTTGCCACCCTAAACCCTAAACCCTAAACCCTAAACCCTAAACCCTAAACCCTAAACCCTAAACCCTAAACCCTAAACCCTAAACCCTAAACCGTATCTTCAGAGAGGGAGCCCTTTTGCACATTTGAATGCCAGGTAAGAAACGAGCCGGAGAAGCCGCCTGGCCGGAGTTAGGGCCTACTTGAGGGTTAAGGGAGGTTGAGGTTTAGGGTTTAGGGTTTAGGCTTTGGGGTCAATTTAGGGTTTCGGGGTTTTAGGGGAATTTGGCGGACCAACCCACCCCCTCAGACCCGAAAGCTCTGAAGCTAAGGCTCGACGTCAAATCGAGGTTTAGGGTTTAGGGTTTAGGGTTTAGGGTTTAGGAATCGAGTGCTAGGTCTGAGTCTGAGAGTTTTGATCCTTTTGGCCAGGACACCATGGCCCAGATGCAAACAAGCAATAAGTGTCTGGAGTTTGCTTTTTTTTTTCTTTCGGATTTGGGTCCATGGGGAGCTGCCCGCCGGCTTGAGGGGCCAGCTACGGGCCCCACTTGAAAGTTCATGGGTAGTTGCCCAACGCACGGCAATTTGCCTTGTAGTTTCCTTGTTTTTCGGATTTTCCTTCGGTTTTTCGCTGTTCCTGCTGGGGGGTGGGGTGGATAAGAATGTCATTCATAACGCGACCATGCTCAAAACACTGGTATTTACAGCATTTTCGCCTCTTTGCACAACATACTCAAAGATGTGGAACAGGAAAGGCTGTCACAAGTGCCCATGCCCTTCGCGACCATGCCCAAAAACTGCACTGAAGACCCCGAAGCAACGCGTCAAGAAACAAAAACCACGCAGGCAAAACAGAGCGCGTTGTTGTTGTTAACGAAAAATGACGACAGACTGAGACCAGGAAGGTTGTCTGGACGCCACCCGTCCGGCTGACAAGCAGGAGCCCGCTTTGCGGGGCCCGCCCAAAAGTAGCCAAGCAAGAAAAGCCCCGGCGCCACCAAAACAAATTCCAAGCCAGCACGCACTTCGACGACGCCAACCAGGCATGCAGCCTGAGCCGAGGAAGCTCGGGCCCTCGTCCGACAGGAGACTGTTGTTAGCAGCTGCCTCGCTCCTGTCACCACCTGGTTGCCACTGCAGGCCATCATCGAGAACCGATGGCCTGTAGAGCCTCAATCCCTCGTCGAACCACGAAACTTGACGACCCAAGTTCTGGGATCCAGTACCGAGATCGGACGAGCCTCGGCTTGTTTGTGGCCGCTGTGCTGCCCTCCCTTTTCGCGCTGGCTCTGTGGGTCACCTGGCACAACCCAGGATGGGCTATTAGGCCTTAAACTCCCCATAATGAACCCTATAAAGGGCCTTTTAAGGGATGATAGCGTTTAATAGCCCATCCTGGACAGAGACAACTGCTGCTCTAACGCCTTGCACCGTGCGGCGGGGGGTTTTGGCCAGACAAGCTGCTCGGACCGCTACTGCCACAAGGGCCGCTGGGTCCGGCGCAAGCATTGCTCCTTTAGCTGTGGCGCCGCAGGAGACCTACGGGGGAGCTACCGCAGCCTGCACTCGCTCGAGCCCTTCAAAATAAGAGCGCGTTGACCGGGTAGTTATATGTGGGGTAGTATGTAGGGTAGCGAGAATTATAAGTGGCTTATAACCTGAACTAGGGCACTTGTACCCCTACTTTTAACTACCCATGAACCTCCATGCGGGCGTGGGTGGGGTGGCTCAAAATTATCGTCCATCTTTGGGGAACCCCAGATATCAGGGCCGCCTTAGAATGGCAACCCCAAAAGGGGCCATAGTTTCGCGAAGTGATCAATAAATGAATTCCGAACGTATCCCTACACCCCAAAGGAAGGGACTGGGTTGTACAAGAAGGTCCAGATGCAAAACAAAGGAGATTTTAAGGGTTTAGGAATCTCAGAGGGGGGGGGGGGGATCATGGAGTTAAGGGGTTTAGGGGTTGGACTTAGGGTTTAGGATTCAGGGATTTGGGGTTGAGGGTTTAGGGTTTAGGGTGTTGGCCCAGGAAGACTCACCATGCTCCCCTTGTGTCGCCCTCTAAGGATCGTTGAGCCCTCGCAGGTCGGGGGGGGGGGTCTTGGGAAAGGGGGGGTCCTTACAGTTTGGGGGTGTAGATTTAGGGTTTAGGGTTTAAGGGTTTAGGGTTATGCCAAGACATCATTGCCCGGGATGCAAAAAAGGGGGGTGGACTAAACGCGGATTAACATGTTTCAGTGCAGGCCGCTTGATTTTGGTACCCAAATCCGTTTTCTTCAGACAGACCTCCATAATTCCGCTTGATGAAGGCTGTGATTTGGGAAAAAATGGGTGGCTTGTGGTTTATGAGGCTGAGGGCTATGGTCCATCGGGCACATGTCGGGACGAAAAGCTCATGACTCCGGATGTATAGGGTCATTCAGGGTGTTTAGGCGTTGTGTTCCGGGTTTGTCTTTCGGTAGCCCCGTGTTGCCCTGTTTCCCCCTTTTGTTAAATACTTCCAGGTCCCCTTTATGAACTAGCCAACCCCTAAAGGGTACCCTTATGATGACATGGCTATCTGGGCTGCTAGTCCAAGACTGAGACCTCCTCTAGGGAGTCTAGGCGGTTTTCGTTGCTTTTGGAGCTGGTTGGTTAAGATCCGGCGCACCTCCTTGCATGGGGTTCCCAGAGAAAGGCAGAGATGGCTGAACCCTATAAGCTTCTCTTGGGTGGGATGGCTGAAAGCTCCTGTGTGCAAAGCCCGCACCGGAACCGGGAACTCTTTTGTTCCGGAGGACGTTTGCTGCTACAAGACTTGCGAGCTGCACGTGTGCGGTGACGATGCCCTGACCCTGCGAGGCTGAACCTCACCGGGCCTAGGGGTTGAGGGTTGAGGGTTGAGGGTTTAGGGTTTAGGGTTTAGGGTTTAGGGTTTAGGGTTTGGTTAGATTCCAAGTTGGTTGCTTGTAGGTTAGGAGAAGGTTGTTTTGGGGGAGCCGTTTTGGGATTCCTCGGCAAACTGAAAAAAGAAGAGCTTGGAGTCTGGAACATAGAACCCCAGGGTTCGGGCTGCTTCGTTTTGGGCTTGGGGATGCGTGGTTCAGGTTTTCGGGTTTCGGGTGTACGGTTTTAGGGGGGGGTCCCTAAACCCTAGGCCCATAGGCCCGAAACCCTAAACCCTAAACCCTAATCCCTAATCCCTAAACCTAAGAGCAGGCTGTGGATGGGTTCTTCCCTGTGTCGAAGTTATTCGTCCCCATACCCTATACCCTAAACCCTAAACCCTAGACGTCTAAATCCCTAAATCCCTCAGCCCCTACTTGGGGATTCTTGACCCCCTGTGCTCCTTCCCAGTTCCTCCATCTGCAGTCTTTTGGGTTTTCAGGGCTAGGGTTTGGGGTTTAGGGTTAGGATTTAAGGTTTAAGTTTTTAGGGGTTTAAGGTTCATGGGTTTTGGGATTTTTAGCTTAGGGCTTAGGGTTCTTGAGAAATCAAAAGTGCTGTTGTTGCTTTGTCAATTCCCACCTCGGTTTGGGGATTTCGGCTTCCGCGTTGTCAAAGGCTGCGTGAAGAGCGGATTCTTCCCATCGCCGCTTTGCTCAAGCCTGTGTGGTCACAGTCCGCGGGGGACGTGCCTTTGTTGTAATTTTGGGGTCGGAAGAATTACAAATAGTATTCCCTTATGGTCCGCATGAACTATATACTAGAATCACAAGGCCTCTATACTACACTACATGCTGTGAAGGCCGAGCTGTGCTTCTATCAGTGACACTAAACGGCTTTGGCTTCGGTAAAAACGAGATGCGAGTACGGCCTTCTGGCATAGCAAATCGTCCTTTAGTTAGCTACGCGGTACACTTCTTCTCACCCCAGATGCCTAACTTACACTCTTCAAGCACTTGTTTTGGCCATCTTTGGTGCCTCTTCACCGGAAACTGCATTCCACAGACCGCGGCTTTGCAATGGAAGACTAAATGGAAGCACGATGCGGCAGCAGCTGCGCCGGGCCACGCCACACCCGCACTCATGTGAGGCTTGGCAGCTGTGTTTCCTTCACTGGCCAGACGTGTCAACTCAGACATTCGACGTGGACGCTCCTCTGGGCAACTGGCGCGTGGAGGTCCGGCGGGTACGTAGAATTCAAATTCGGTTGCGACCCTGCCCATCATAGTGCATACTGCACCTGCCAAGTATATCTGAGTAGTAGAGTATGCAACCTTTAACCTTTTGGGGGAATTTTAATCCCCTTATGATCCCAAAGGTTAACCTTTGGTTCCCCGAGGCACTGGACCACTAAGCTATCAGTACATACCATCAATTTCATGAGTTAGTATATATCATCAATTCATGAGTTAGTAAGTAGATATCATCAATTTCATGAGTTCGTTTCTCTGATTCTGTTCATGCCCTACGTAGATGAGCCGATGGACATGCCCAAAGGTTCGCCTCAAGTTCCTGGATCTGCGCCGCGCGTGGCCCGATACTGCAACACTGTAGCATGTTTTCCTTTGGTGCACCACCCTAACCCCTAAAACCCAAACCCTAAAACCTAAACCCTAAACCCTAAACCCTAAACCCCTAAACCCTAAACCCTAAACCCTAAACCCTAAACCTAAACCCTTCGGGGCCCCCAAAGCAAAGATGGAAGGAACCAAGATGGTCAGACTGCCGAGAGCCAGTCGCCAGTGTCTTCGGGAGGCGCTGCGAAGTGTCGTGCCGTCCGGGTTGGATCCTTGGTCGGATCCTTGTGAAGGGTTTAGGGTTAGGGTTTAGGGCCTGCACGGAGTCATCAACCAACCCCTCTAGATCTTTTTCTTCCGGGTGTTAGGGCTGTAGCGTCTGGCTGTGTTAGGGATGTGCCGTGAGGCTCAAGTTTATACGGGCCAACCTAGATCCTAGACAACTGAACTCCCTGAACTCCAAACTACCTTAAAGCCAGAGTTCAAAATGACCCCAGGTTGAAAAAGCACACAAGACTTAACAAAAAAACCTTGGCCCTAAACCCGAAACCCTACACACCCGAGACCCTAAGAAGCCTTAAGCCCTACAAGCCCTGCCATAAAGAAAAAAATCGCCAAAAGCTGCCCCGCCACGAGAAGCATCGCCCAAACCAACCTCAGGATGGGGTTTAGGATTTAGGGCTTAGGGTTTAGGGTTTAGGCTTAGGGTTTAGGGTTTATAAGGGTTTAGGGTTTGGGTTTTTAGGGTTTAGGTTTAGGTTTTAGGGTTTAGGGTTTAGGGTTTAGGGTTTAGGTTTGGGTTTTAGGGTTTAGGTTTAGGTTTAGGGTTTAGGGTTTAGGGTTTAGGGTTTAGGGTTTAGGGTTGGGATGGCCGGCGCAGTGCCGGCTTCGGGGTGTTCTAGGGCTGAGGATGCCTTCGGAGTTTGGGGTTTGTTTTTTTTTTTTTTTTTTTTTTGGGGGGGGGGGGGGGGGTTAGGGTTTGGGTTTAGGGTTTAGGGTTAGGGTTTAGGGTTTAGGGTTTAGGGTTTAGGGTTTAGGGTTTAGGGTTTAGGGTTTAGGGTTTAAGGGGGGCCTCTGTCGGTCAGTACGATAAAGCCCCTGATTCTTGGAGACTGGAAACCCACAAAAAACGCAGGTTTGGGACTAAGGTAGGGAAAGGAAAGCCTTTGTTCAAGCCTCGCCTTCCCGGCAAGCTTCAGGAACAAGACCTGCCCATCCCGGCCGCGACGCGCGAGTGGCCGCAGAAGGAGCTCAAGCGATGCCAAAAGCGGCTTCAGCAGACTCTAGGTGAGAAGCAGTTTAATTACAGGCTCAAGATATGTGTGGCCTGCATACTTCTGGAAGGATACCCCAGGCATATGGCATGTGAGCCCCAAAACCCTAAACCTGCTGCTTTGTGGAATGGACGGAATGTCGTGGTACATGCGTTGGCCATTCCCCAAGCTTGGTTGGGAGCTGCTGGATGGAGCGAGTGATGAGTAGTGTGAATCCCTGAACCCTAAACCTCTCCGAGAAAACCCGAAGAGAACCCGAAGACCCCTGAGTCGCCAAGGAAGGTGGCCCTCGCTCTGGATGAGGGCTCCGCAGGCATTCAGTCGTTCTTAGGCAGATAAGTTCGGGTTTCGCTTAGGGCTGACACTGAGGGTAACCTAGGTGATGACCCCACATTCTGGGAAGAAATCAAGGGCCCGGATTTCTTAAATTTAACAAATTGAGGGGCTGGATTTCTTAAATTTAAGAAATCGAGGGGCTGAGTTTCTTTTTTCTTTTTTGAGGGGGGGGGGAGACTTTTCATTCAAGGATGGAAGCATCCAGATACAGGGGCTGGATTTCTTGAATTGTTTTATGTCTAGAAACTGAGGGGCGGTTGCCAAAAACAACCAAACTTCAGAAATTTAGGGCCCAGCATGAGGGTACCCTCGATTTCTTAACTTAGTCTTGCTCTCAATTGTCGCACTTTCATCCGGGATGCAGCCGCGAGCATGCTCGTTTCTTAATCCAATGATTTCTTAATCAGTGCTGTCACTGTATCCAATTCCCAAGTTCTTGCTTACGCGCTCTTCCTGCGGGGGTCTCGAAAGCAGGCATGGCCCTGCCCCTGCTTCGCGGCGCCTTCCTGGACGGGTGGCCCACCCGTGCCCTGGAGCCAGCGCTGCAGCGTCTGCTCACAGGAATGGACCCTCAGGAAAAGGACCCTTGGCCCGTGAGCCGTGCGCCCTAAGCCCTAAACCCTAAGCCAAGAAGCTCAGAACAGTAAAAACATTGGGGTCTTCGAATCTCGGGGGCTGGCCTGGGGTGTCGGCACTTTTGTCACTGCTCCGACCGAAAAGACCCCTTCCCGACCCTTCATAGAAATTGTACAAAACCTAAAGGAAAAAAGGGGGGCGAAAAAAAACGGCAGGGTTGGGCTCTGTCGGGAAAACCTCAACTCCAGCACCAAGGACGGGGGCTTGCAGCTGTGCCTCCAGATTCTCAGCCACAGTGAAGAATCCCTGGGAGAGGCCTCCTTGGCAAGCCCTGGGGTTCTAGGGGCCTTAGAGGCATTTACCGGGTTTTGGGAGGTTTATGAGCCGAAAGCCCACTCTCTTGTAGGTTGCTGAGTTAAGAGTCAAGAGTCCCTGTTTCGCCGTCATAGCTGCAATTCCTGCAAAAGAGGTAGGTTAGTAGGAGAGGCTTCCCTTTCGTCTTTGGTCGCGCTTCTTGTCGATACCGGACGACCAGATGCTGCCGAAGCGGTGCTGCAACATGCAGTTTCCATCGGCCAAGTGACTCAACTCATCCAGCTGTACTTAACACAGACGTTTAAATACTAGTTAGATAGACAACTTAGATAACCCTTGTAGCAACAAAATTGGTACTATAAACTGCCCTGATAATAGGTAGATAGATAACCCTTGTAGTAACAACATTGGTACAATAAACTGCCCAAATATTCCATGATAATGTGTAACCCAAGGCTGCGACAAGCGTCCTACAGGTCCTAGCCCCACGCATCCGCGCATTGCTTCTTCCTGGCTGAAATGGGGGGGGGGGGGGGGTTGGGGGGGCTACACAGGGCGAAAACCACACTTTTCGCTAAAATCGGGGTTACATCACCCATTTCAGCCTAGATTGGGCAATTTCATGGAAAGCACCTGTGCTTGGATGCTTGGAGGTTACATCACTGGTTTCATTGCAGAATGCTTGGTATGCTTCATGTGGGATGTGGATGCCTTCCGGTCATTGGGAGCCACGCAAGGACATTGGGCCGTCAAGGGGGTTTCAAAATCCACCAGGGGATTTGTGGGATACGTGCTGAGGAGTGCTGATCCCCATGTCGGCTTAAATGCCACAATGTAGGAAGCAGAAGATGCTTGGGAGACTCGCCCGCCACTCCGGAAGGCTCGCAACCCCAACCCGTCCACCACCTTCTCTACACAGGGTTTCAATAAGCTTGAAGGTAAATTCTTTCAAAGTCTTTCAGATTCTTTCGTGGTGTGGCCTTTCTGGCTGGGTTGGGAACTTCATTGGGATTCTCGCCGGGATTCCTGTAGCCGGGATTCTTTAGGGTGGGCACTTCGGAGGCATATTCTTTGGCGAGGGCACGCAGTGGAAGGTCTGAGGCATTCTCTTTGGGATACGTCGTTCGTTTTGGGGATCTTCGGGGCGCACACTCCAGCGTTACACTCCAACGGGATTTGGACAACTTCTTCGACAAACTGCAACTTTTTCTGGAGCAGCGTCGTTCGTAGCAAAGCACAGCTTTTTTCGACTGAGGGCAAATTGTTTCTTGACAAAACGTATTTTATCAACAAAGCGCGCCCTCCAAAGAATGTCGTCGTTTGCAGGAAAGGTGTCAACAGCACGAGTGCACGCCGCCCTCAGAAGTAGGAGTGGTGCCAGAATAAGACTGGTCCCGCAGGGTACATTTTGAGGCATTTTCTGTGGGATTCTCAGTAAAAATTAATATTTGCATATATTTTTGTATTAAAGAAAAAAGAGATTCTCTGGGGTTTTCTCCGCCGCCTTGTTTAAATGCGGAATGCTCCTGCGCGAATATGCGGGAGGGAGGCCAGACGCGCGAGAGATCCCCAGGCCCTCCATATCCAAACCACCCTAAACCCTAAACCTTACTACCCCCTGCCAGACAGGTGGCAAAATGCCCCAAACCTTAAACCTTCAGCGAGGTAAAGATGCGGACTTTTCAGCCGTTGCTGGAGTTCTTGGCCGCAAGCGGCGCTGGGGAGAGGCTGCGGTGGATCTTTCATCACTTGCCCTTCGGAGGCCTATATACTGCGCAGGATTCTCACGCACCTGCCCTGTACATTCCCAAAACCCTCAGGGTTTAGGGTTTGGGGTTTGGGGTTTAGGGTTTAGGGTTTAGGGAACGCCACACCCCTAGAACCCTGAACCCAAGCCCAGGTTGCAGCCACTGGTCTCCCAGCGCCAAATCCGGCTGAACGGCGCCTCTTTGGCGACCTTGCTGAGGGGCCGCTTAGTAGAGTTTAGGGTTTAGGGTTTAGGGTAGTATGTAACCTTGAACCTTTTTGGGGGTGACCTATTCTTAGTAGCAGAGTATGTAACCTTTTATCCTTTTTGGGGTAATCTAATCCCCTTGAAATCCCAAAAGGTTAACCTTTAGTAGCAGAGTATGTAACCGTTTAACCTTTTTGGGGTAATCTAATCCCCTTAGAATCCCAAAGGTTAACCTTTAGTAGCAGAGTATGTAACCTTTTAACCATTTTGGCGTAATCTAATCAAACCCTAAACCCTAAACCCTAAACCCCTTAGAATCCCAAAGGTTAACCTTTAGTTCCTCTAGGTACTGGACAGCTAAGGCTTCGGAGCACACCCCGAAATGCAGGAAGAGGCGCGCCGAAACCCTAAGCTTGGGATGTTCCCCCCCCTTTATCTACGAGTCCTGAATTGAGTCCTTAATGGGGATTGCAAGAGGTACGATAATCCCGATTAAGGACTCTTAGTAGAAGGCGGAAGATCCCAGAGAGTCGAAACCCTAAGTGTCCCCAAAACAGGTGCCAAGTTGAGGGGTTTAGGGTTTAGGGTTTAGGGTTTAGGGTTTAGGGTTTAAGGGTTTAAGGGTTTAAGGGTTTAGGGTTTAGGGTTTAGGGTTAGGGTTTAGGGTTTAGGGTTAGGGTGAGTGTTTTTTGCGTCTTTGGTTTGGTTTGTCTCTTTTTTTGGCTTCTAGGTACTGGCACTGCTGTCCCTGGCAGAGCTGGAGCTGCCCAGAGCATGCTTGGAGAGGAGTCTCCTGCTGCTCAGGGCTTTGTGGGGTTTAGGGTTTAGGGTTTCGGGTTTGGGGCTTAGGGTTCAGGCACTTATGACCCCAAGAATAGCTGTACTTATAAGCCCCCCCCCAAGTTCTCTACATAGGTGATAAGTAGACTCAGAATGGGGGTTGTGAGTACGCATGAACCTCCAAGTGGGATTGAAGGCGAACCCCCCCCTGCTGTTCGGCGCTTGTAGGGATTCGGGTTGAGGGAGAACCCGCAACCTGCGATTTGTAGGTCCTCAATTCGAAAACCACTGAAGGAGAAGTTTCTTCTGCAACCTATGGGTACGGAAAACGTATTTTGGGGGTTCTTCGGGTAGGGAGAAAGATTTCGAGGTTAAGGGGGGGGTGGAGGGATGGATTCCTGTCGCAGAAGAAGGCTCTGGTACGCTTTCATACTACGGGGGTAGGGTTTATATGCTTGAGGGTACGTACGCAAGGTCCCCGTACAGGACTACAGTACACCGTGAAAGCAGGCGACCAACGAGCTAGAATGCAGGATTGAAGGTTGAGGCTATGGGGCTTTTGGGGTTCAGGATCTCTCGTGAAGAACTTCCTGGACTGCACATGGATTTTGTGTTGCGGCCTCCTTGCAATCTCGGCCAGCTTCTTCCCGATGCAGGTCATGCTCCTTAGTTCTGATACACAAGTGCGGCACCACCAAACCCCGAAATCACGAGAGCTCCAAGCACTTAAACGTTCAAAACGCCCAGACCCCAGGCTGAAGAAGCAAGGGGGCGTGCTGCTGCTCTCCTGAAGCCAGAAACGCTTCGGAGACTGGCCGCAGCAATGCAGGACGCTGGCAATGGTCCTGCGACGTGCTTCGTGGATGGACCCAACGTAGCTTGGGAGATGTCCTGATGGGGCTTCACACGTTCTTTTCCTCGAAGCGTCATGTGTCTATCTTGCGTTTTTTCACCGTTTAGGTTGCTGGTAGGCCCTGGGGGGCTATCTTAATTTTCCCTTGAGTTATTGGGTTTAGGATCACGTCTAGGAGTCTAGGAGTCTAGGAGTCTAGGAATATTCCTCAGAGAGTTTAGAGGGCCAACCTAGCTTGAGAGTTGCCTGTGCCAAGGTAGGCTACCGTGGCGCCGTCCAGCGGCGCCAGGAGAGTGAAGGTGGCCGAAAAGGTGCGGGAGGCAAGAACTTCTCCAGAGAGGAGGACATGGAAATCAGTGACTCCGATGCAGCCATAGGGTTTAGGGTTTAGGGTTTAGGGTTTGTAATAATTCGGGTTTGAAAGTTGTTATTGTGATCTCAACACAGACAGCCCTTGGCCGTTTGGGCCTTTTGTGTTTGGGGAAACCAAGGCAACTTGCACGCAGAGTACTTCCGCCATGACCAGATTGAAGCCGCCATGGGCCAGTTGCGTGAACAGGGGGAGGTGCCCCTGCTGATCATGCCGCTGTGGAGTAGAGTATGCAACCTTTAACTTTTTTTGGGTCAACAAATATATATATATATATATACATATATATATTTATTTATTTATTCCCATTATCATCCAAGAGGTTAACCTTTAGTTCCCCTACAACTGAGGCCGGCGCGGTATGTTTTTGCCCCGCCTGGCAGGCGCGCTGCCGCCGCATCGGCCACAGTGAGTGGACCTATGCAGCCACAGAACAGATTGGTGGAGAGTTGGCTGCTTCTTTGTCAGAGTTGGGGTAACATCTTCACATCTTCAAGGGCACTTAAAAAACCCAAGTAAGGAACAGACATGCTTCAAAATATTCATAAAGATTCTCCCAACACAATTCTTGACATTTTTAAGATGATCCCAGCCATGAACCCTAAACCCTAAACCCTAAACCCTAAACCCTAAACCCTAAACCCTAAACCCTAGGGTGGGGAAGTCGCTGTTTGTGGTCTCCGATGATGAGCCCGACGATGTGGCCTGGATCTTCGGGACCTTGGGTGCCCAGGAGGAGGATCAAAGTCACTTGGGTTTTGGAGTACTACTGCGCTTTAACACTTTTTTTAAATGTAGGGTTTAGGGTTTAGGGTTTGGGGTTTAGTGTTTAGGGTTTAGGGTTTAGGGTTTTGGGGTACTATTACGTTCATGTTGTTTGTTGGTTCTGGGTTCCTATTCTAGCTACTTGTACCTAAGAAGTCTATACTCTTTTCCAGGGTCCTACTCCGAAGTCGAGGTCTCTATGTCGTTACGAGGGATAAGGCTGCCAATCACCGTGGAAGCATTTGGGGCGTCAGATTCGGCAGCGGCCAACGTCGAGACCTGGAGCTCGAGCGTTCCTTCCGCCGGTGGAGCGCCTTGCGCTTGCGCTGGTATGCTGTGGCCTGGGATGGATGTGACCACGATCAGGGCGCCACCGTTCGCATCGATGGGTTACCACCGTTGTCAATGGAAATCCAGCAGCAAAACGGAATCTGGTACATTCCTGAGGCGACGGGCTCGCGCTGGTTGGCCATTGCAAGGAAAAAGTCCAGAGCAATAGCATCCCTGGGTTCGCCCGGAGACCCTTAAACGGACTTTGAGGTTCTAGGTTCTTATAAGAGACCTCCCTGACTCTCAGATGTATCCCACGAGATGCATCAGATGTCCCGGGGCAAAACCTCGCAGCCAGAGAGCTCCAGAATGCCTCAAGAGCCTTGAATTGAGGTTCTTAAAGCCGAAACCCTATAACCCTAAACCCTCCTGGTAATTGGGATCCCCGGGTCCCTAGCCCTAAGCCCCTAAGCAATCACAACTCGAGGGACGATCTCTGGCTTAGACCTCAATGTATAAAGCAAGCCCAAGAGCAGGGAAGCCAGGATTCTTGGGGTTCTACAGCTTCTTGGGTGTGCTGGGTGTGTCTTCTTGAAGGTTCTTAGGCCAGGCTTTGAGAGTTTCAGCAGCGTTTTAAGGTCCAAGGGTTGATGGGGTTGTATATCGGGTTGTATAGGGATATCCAGAACTTTCTAGGGTTTAGGGTTTAGGGTTTAGGGTTTAGGGTTTAGGGTTCCAGGCGATGCCGCGCTGGTTGCCGGGGACACGGACGCGGACTGCTGCGTGAAGACCTGCACCGGATTCGTTTGCGGCACCCCGTCCCGGCTAGGGTGTACTAGGATGGGCTATGACCCTGCAAAGGGCCTTTTTTAAGAAAGGCCTCATTCACTAGTACTTGTTTAAGAACCCTCCAACAATACAACATATTCTTTCTTATAGAGTAAAGAACAGGGATTACTACTTGTTCATTCTTTTTTGGGGATCTTAAGAAAATAGTAGTAGGGTGTAGGTTGAGGGCGGAGCTTGGCGCCTCCCCAGTGCGCTTTACAGTTGGAGATGCCCGAAATAGCTCGTTAAGGTACCTTACTTACGGGTACTTAGAGGCTCCAGGAAGAAGGGATCGAGACAGGGATGTTTTAGTCATGTGGCTCTGCCGAAACCTTGAAACCCTAAACCCTAGAATCGTAAAACCCGAAAGCCCGAACAGCCCAGGTTAAGTCCCTGCCCCCGAAGACTGCGGCTGTTCCAGTAATTTCGAGTGTAAGACAGGTCGGGGCATCAGGGCGCACAGCGTTCGCTGCTTTTAGAACAGTCCGGGCCGGGCTGTTTTAAGGGGGAGGCTTCCTCTTAACGCAAGAAATTCTTCATGACGCAGCAGAGGGGGTATAATCGAAAGCGAACGCGTAGCCTTGAAGCAACATGGGCTGATGCTTGAACCCTTTTGCCCGAAACCGAACCACAAATCTCACATGGATCCACCTGCATCCATGCTTTCGGCATGGAGCGCATCAGGTCAGACTGGCTTCGTTCTGCACCTTGGCTCCGTGTTTTGGGGTGTAGGGTTTGATAGAGACAGAAATAAATACATGGAAGGCAAGAAGTCGTCCAAGGTGTGAGATTCTGCTATCCGTTTCGATCACAGACCTGGCTTTGTCAGCGCGCACCCTAATCTCAAAATCCCCTCCTAAGACCACTATGGCTCCGGGTCCTATTACATGTTGTTAAAAGTGTCTTTCTGGCAACGTCGTAAACACACACAGAAAGATAGAGATATAGATATGTGTGTATATATATGTATTCTGTATATGCAGGAGATGTATGTGTGTAGATGTAGCCGCACTATCCATTACTCTCTCTCTATCTCTCTCTCTCTCTCTCGCTCTCTCGCTCTCTCTCTCTCTCTCTTTCTCTGTCTGTTTGTCTGTCTGTCTTTGAGAATTCGGGGCATTGGGGGGGGAACATCTGTCACAGCTATTGTAGGAGCATTTTCTGCTCAAAAAGGGTGTTTTTGGCGTGCAAGAGTCAGGCCCCGCATGCAGTAATTGGCTCCTTTTTCCAGACCTAGTATATCTATCATTCGAATTGTAGGACCCGCTTATTCTCCACGAAACGGGGTTCCGTGCATGAGCCTTGGGCAAGCAATTGCCTTCTGGGTGGGTGCGCCTTCAGTTTGTGCTGGAGAGCCAAATTCGTTTAATAGAGGGGCATACCTCAAACTATGTATAGGGGTTCGGCTTATGATTTGTTTAGGGTCTGTTTCCTTCCTCGCCCCCCCCAAGTGCCCCAGTGTACCTTACTGGGGCTATCTAGGCATCATAAAGGGTACTTGGGGGATCGAAGTTCATAGATGGGCATAGGGCTTTCCGGGTGTAGCCCGCTGGCGTTAGACTGGTCAGTGCCGAGTCCTCTTGTTGTTCTGAAAGCTTATTGCAAGATGATAAACGGACCTCCTTGCCACACAGATTCTGCTGCAACATCCGCCGGGTGGTTGTTTAGGGTATAGGGTTTAGGGTTATAAACCCTAAAGCTTAAAGGACAAACCCTCAACCGCTCGCCAAGCTGTGCGGGTGACTGGTGGCCCTTCCAAACCCGAAACCCCGAGCTCCAGGCGCGCAGATGCAGACACCACCACGGGAGGCGTAGGTGGCAACAGCGACGCCACCTGCTGCGTAAAGCGCCTTGGCAACTGGGGGGCCTAGGGTTCAGGTCTAAGGAACATGGGCTTAGGGTTTTGGGTTTAGGGTCTAGGGGTTTAGAGTTTAGGGTTTAGGGTCTAAGGGCGTTTGTGGGTTTAGGGAGGATGTAGTCAGGTTTGCAGGGTTTTGTATGCTGCTAAGGTTGGGAGAGGTTGTTGAAATCTCTTCCCCTTGCATGCCCCGCGAATGGTAAGATAGTTCCCGTTAGGGTTCTTTACTGAGTTAAGTGGAGGGAGGAAAAAAGAATTATGGGAGGAGATGACGAGCGTAAGCCTCGGAGTTTGCAGTGCGGGTGGCGAAGACAACAAAACCCTCAGCGCCCTCCCTAAAGCACCCCCAGGTCCTGCTCGTACTTTCAAAAAACACTAGAAACCCCTAAAGCCCTCAGCACCCTCCCTAAAGCACCCCCAGGTCCTGCTCGTACTTTCTGAAGCCCTAAAACCCTAAAACCCTCAAACCCTCAGCGCCCTTCCGAAAGCACCCCAGGTCCTGCTCATACTTTCAAAAACCCTTCCTGGAAACCTAGACCCTTGGGAGTATCCAAGAATAGTACCCTATACTGCTATGCTACTATTGGGTCATTCTTAGGAACCCTTAAGGGGATCTATTTTTTGGATCCTCCCAGGGGTCTGGGAAGCACCCCAGGTCCTGCTCGCTGTACGAGTGCCCTCGAGGCAGGAACCTCGTCGAGACTCGTCTGCCGCTGGTTTAGGGCTTGGGGTTTTGGGTTTAGGGCTTGGGGTTTAGGGTTTAGGGTTTTAGGGTTTAAGGCTTAGTTTGTCATAGCGGGGTAGCAGTTTACATGTTTAAGGGTACTTACAGTCAATAGGGAGTATCCCAACCATGAACTAGTTTAGGGTTTAGGGATTTGAGATCAGGGTTCGGAGCTTAGGGTTGAGGGCTTCGGGTTAGGGTCTAGGGTTACAAACTGAACCCCTATAGCAAAACCTCCATGAGAACCGCTTGTATTTTGAGGGGGGTGGGAGGGGGGGCGTGGCTGATGGCTGAGCTGTTTTTCGGGACAGCCTCTCTCTTCTTTACATCTGGAAGTCTACCCGACACAAACCTCTGAGGGTCTATACGCACAACTCAGGGCTTTCTGTCCCTAAACCCTAAACCCTAAACCCTAAACCCTAAACCCCAAACCCCAAACCCTACGCCCAAGGCCAATGCAGCCACCATCATCGCCGACTCTGAGAACTCTTGCTGCGAGTAGCCTGTGGATCTCTCGATTTAGGGTTTAGGGTTCAGGGTTAAGGGTTTAAGGGTTTAGGGTTTGGGGATTAATTGGGGTTTAAGGGTTTAGGGTATAGGTGGTAAAGGGCTTAAGGGCGTGGATCTCTCGATTTAGGGTTTAAGGGTTTAGAGTTTAGGGTTTGAGGGTTTGGAGTTAAGGGTTTTAGGTTTAGTTAGGGTTTAGTTGAGCTACGCACGGCCTTGGCGAAGCCCAGAGACACCTCAGGAACTTGCCCTTGTCATTATTACAGGGGCGTACATAGCTTCGATTCTACCGTTTGAGTGCCCGCTGCCCACAGGCCCCACACCAAGAAGATCCATTGCAAACTAGAGCCTCGTAAGGAAACACGCACGCCCCGGAGCCTGGCCATTTGCGGGAGTAGGGTCATTATGGTTCAGGCTTGGGGGTGACTTTTCGGGTTGTGGGATGATGTGCACATGGCAGGAGCTTGTGGCGAATGCAGGGGGGGGCCTCTAGAATTAACCAACCTCGCGTCGCCTTGCATCAAATCCCCTGTAAGCCCTGTAAACCTCGTCGCCTCCGCGTCCTCTACTCTCACCTTCGCTACCTCAGCGCAGAAATTTCGTGGAACGAACTGAGACCGACTGGAGTCCAGAAAAAGGCTCCGCTTTGGGAAACATGTTCTCGGTACTCGTGCTGGATCTGTTGATCATGTGAGAGTCACCTCGAGTCAGCCCTAAATCCTAGACACCTAGACCCTAAACCTTGTTGGGGGTTCTCTCCATGATAGCATGTCGGGTTTTAAGGTTGTTGGGGTGCTGGGGTTAGGGCTCATAGTCTAGGGTTTAGACACTAGCAAGTTGATGATTATACCCCCCCCCCTGTAACTAGCAGGTGCGATGTGCTCATGACTGAACGTCTTAAGACTTCCCCTTGTTGAGTCTTCATGGTACATGTCTGGTACATAGCCATATAGCCCTATACTTATCCATCGTGGAGCGCACACGCACACACACCCTCCTATCCTGGTTTAGGGTTTAGGGGTACTTACTCGGCTGGGGGCAGGAGACCTGGTTGCAAAACGGGGTTTCGGGAGGTTACATAATGGCCAACCGTGCCCTGAATGGACAAGGGTGGGTATTGCCGAGTTGCTGGATGCATGCATGCCTTGTGTGCATGCCTTGGTATGTATAGGTACATATATATATATATATACATTTTTGTGTATTTAGACACACAGCTTTTTTGTTGTTCGTTTCTGTTGTGTACGCGCGTGTGTGTTCAGGTACAGGGTTGCTGTCTCAGTAAGCCGAGCCGAAACGCAAGACCCTAAGCCACCCAGCGTCGCCAAAGCTTTGGCCAGGTCGCGGCCCGGCCGCTTCTACTTCGTCAACCGGGCTTGCACCCCGGAAGGTGAGGGCTTTGAGTGGTAGGGCTTTAGGTTTGTGTGTTTGGGGCTTAGGATTTAGGGTTTAGGGCTAAGGGTTAAGGGCTTAGGGTTTAAGGTTTAGGCGGGTTTTTTTCGAGTTTGGGGTTCGGGTTTAAAGGCGTATAGTTGCAGGGGAGTGGGATGCCCCGGGAGGGGACTCCGTGGCTCCAAGCGCCGGCCACAAGCTCTTGTGGGGGTTTAGGGTTTAGGGTTTAGGGTTTAGGGTTTAGGGTTTAGGGTTTAGGGTTTAGGGTTTAGGGTTTAGGGTTTAGGAGATCTTCGGGTTTGGGGGTTTCGGGTTGGGGTTTAGGGATTTAGGGTTTGGGTATAAGAAGGTTACTGAGTAGTAGAGTATGTACCCTTTCAAACCTTCTTGGGGTAATATCATCCCCTTAGAATCCCAAAGGTTAACCTTTAGTTCCCCTAGGTACTGGACAACGAAGCTTAAGGTTTGTGAGTAGGCCTAAGCCTAAAGCCTAAACAAAACCCTAAACCCTCAACCCTAAACCCTAAGCCCTAAACCCTAAACCCTCGGGGTGGGGTTTGGGGGGCTTGTGGAACTCCGGGAGCTTTGTCGGACCCTGAACCTTCAAGAAGCCCTAAAGCCCTGCAAGCCCTAAAGCCCTAAAGCCCTAAATCCCTACAGCCCTAAAGCCCTAAAGCCCTAACCCTAAAATCCTAAAGCCTTAAACGCCAAAGCTAGAATCCTAACTCCAACTTCAGCAGCCCTCAGCTTCCTAAACCCTGAAGCCCTCAATCCACAAACCGACCTTCGTAACCTTCCTAAAGCCCTAAGTCCCTAAAGCCCTAACACCCTGAAGTCCTGCGTACATCCTAAAAGCCTTAAACCCGAAAGCCCTAAAGGCCCTAAACCTGTGTCCCTGAAGCCAAAACCCTAAAGCCCTAAAGCCCTAATTAAACCCTAAACCCTAAACCCCTATGCAAAAAACCCTAAAGCCCTAGGCCCCAAGACCGGAAAGCCCTAAAGTCCTAAACCTTCAAGCCCGAAACCCCTAAACCCCTCGACCCGAAACACGAAGCCCTAAACCCTAAACCCTAAACCCTAAACCCCCTAAACGCCCTAAACCCGAAACCCGAAACCCTAAACCCTACCTACCCTAAACCCCCCACGCACCCCGCAACCGCTCTTCTCTGTCGGCTCGTGAAGCGCTCCTGGCGCAGCCGGAGACCGGAACCTCGATTTGCGACGACGAGGGGAACTGCACCTCGGGGCGGCAAAGACAGTTTTTTGGGGTCGTTTAGGGTTTAGGGTTTAGGGTTTTTGGGGGGGGGGTTTTTAGGGCTTTTGTTAAGGGGTTTTTGTTTAGGGATTTGGAAGGGCTTCGGGGGGTTGAGGGTTCGGGGTTTAGGAGGGTTGAGGAAGGTTTTTAGGAGGGTTTGGAGGGTGTTTTGGGGTTTGGGAGGATTTAGGAGGGTTTTTTTTACGAGGGTTTCGGGGGCTTTGGGGGGTCTTGGAGGGTTTAGGAGGGTTTAGGAGGGTTTGAGGGTTTAAGGGGTTTAGGAGGGTTAGAGGGTTGAGTACGATGCCTGGTAAAAGCTTGTCGATTTGCTCAAGACTTTGTATCCTAAGTCCCTCGTTAAGACCTAGGATCCCACAAAACACAAACCAGGCATCCTGGTCGTTCGTCGGGGTTTAGGGCTTAGGGCTTAGGTTGGGCTTGGGGGTTTAGGGACTTGGGGTTTTAGATCGGTGTTTCTGACTGGCAAACGTATGGCCGAGTTTTTGAAGAGCCAGGCACCTGAAACTAGACGGCCAGAAGATGAAGCGAGCCTCCCAAATTTCAGTCCAAAGGCCCTCACTACGAAAGACATGTGGCAGGGGGGGGGGTCCAAATGATTGGCTCTATTTGGTGCCCTAGAGCCCATGAGAATCACATTCCAAATACTTGTTGTTGTGAAAGCGGTGAATTCGATACATATCCCCTATGTGTGTATATATATATACACCCTTCAAGTTGATTGTATAGGTACCTGCTTCCCTCACTCCCTACTACTACGAACCAGCAAGACTAGAGATCCACGACTGGGTTATAGAGCACTATACTGTTATACTTTTTTGGGTTCTGGGTTCCTTCTATAGCTACTCATACCTAAAAAGTACATACTTTTTTCCAGGGTCGACTCCACAGTAGGTACAAGGGTGCTTGCCGAGGTATAGAATCCGCGTCCGGCAGACGGTGCCTCCAACCCAGCAAAGAACTCTGCGCAGCTCGGAGCGATAAGACGTCAGGAAAGGGTTCCTAGGCGCTGCTGTGCAGAAAAGGGTTTAGGGTCTTGGGTGCTGGGGCTGTTGCCTTATTCTCCCCCCCTTAGAATACCACAAGGGGCCCCCATTTCGGGTACCCATACTCCCTTTCCGCCGCCACTAAGTTCACTTTTTTGTGGGTCTTGTTCATTTGAAGTCTTCCGGCCAAAAGCCTCAAGTTCTTAGAATCCCTGGTCAATGATTGGGCAGAAGCCGTGAAATCCTAAAAGCCCTGACCTGTGCTGTTGGAGCGCATCATTTGTTCATGTGGCTTGCCTGAAGGTCAATCACAGAAGTGGCCAGATGGACAGGGCTGGGTGAAAATCAAGAGAACAGACTTTGACCCCTCCACACTTAACAGCATCTCTGCTGAGCGGTTCCCTAAACCCTAAACCTAAACCCTAAACAAAAGCCTAAGCCCATTCAGGTCCCAGAGGGCCCCAGTGCCTGCGGTTCATAAGCTATCTAAGTGTATCCCTTCTTGATATGCCCTTGGTGGGGGGCCTCACAACCTGACGGTATCAGGGCTAAGGCCCTTTCGGCCCTAAACCGAAGCCACAGCAGCTAAAGCATCTGAAGCCCGAAACCTGCGGGCCCTATGGGCCCTAAACTCGAAGCCCTAGAGATCCTCAGGTTTAGGGTTTAGGGTTCATTGGAGTACCTATGGGTGCGTTGCTACCTTCTCGGTCATGAATGTAGTGGACGGTTGCTCTGCTGTTGAGTTTACGGGCTTGCTGTGAGTCCTTCGCTACTAGCTCTCCAGGATGCTGCTCAGAGCCTTCAAAAAGGGTTTAGGGAGGGCCAGCGTTCAAAAGGGTTTAGGCAAGAAGGGTAAGCCCTCTAGGCCCCAAAGAGCCCTATGGCCTCAACCCTAAACCCTGAACCCTAAAGCCTAAACCCTAAACCCTAAACCCTAAACCCTAAATCCCCTGCCAGGAGAAGAACTTTGTAAAGCAGCTGACTGGGCAGAGCGATTCCACCGCGGAGACCTGGAGTCCGGCCCCTCCTTGCCAACCTTAGGGTTTAGGGTTTAGGGTTTAGGGTTTAGGGTTTAGGGCTCTTTGGGGCTTCTTACGGGCTCGAGGGTTTGGGGCTTTTCTGGGATTTAGGGTTAGGGTTTTCCTGCTTTCAGGCGTGCTTGCCGGCAGCCTCCTCAAACCGTGCTAGGAAGGGTTTTCTTCAGGGTTAAGGGTTTGGTGTTTAATTAGGGGGTATGGGAGTGTTTAGGGGTTTCGGGGTTTAAGGTTTTTCGGGGTTTAGGGCTTTTCGGGGTTCAGGACTTTTCCTGGTTGAGGGTTTTGGGGGTTTAAGGTTTTTCGGGTT